GGTTGCTCTGTCATTATTTAAGTTTCCTAGAGGTTGGCAGTGGTGGACATCAGATCATTCAGAGCAGAGAAGGATGTTAACCTATACCCAATATGTGATCGGATGCAGCAATCTTCCCAACAGAGAACTTTGTCTACTACTTCTGTAAGCAGGCTCATTTTAAAAACACTGTATTATCTTAAAGCATTCTGGTGTTGCTTGCTCACAGGCATTAGGCAAATACTCTTTTGCAGTGGTGTCATCTAGTGGTCAAATCCAATGAAAAGAGATACTCCCTTTTAGTATCTGCCATGTTCTGTACGATTTCTTATTTCTTATACACTACCTTTAAGCAACCTATTTTAATCTGCAGGTGCTTGACTTTTAATTAAGTTGCATACTAATTGATGGACAACAACTGGTTGTCCCCCAACCTCTGTGGGGAAGGGAAGGCATTGTCACATAAGCTATTTTTAAGGGCAGTGGAGGGGGAGCTGAAGAGCTAATAGAGTTGTCCAACCGAAAACCTCAGATCTCTTCATTGCTCAAATGAGACTGCAAGCTTATAGATTAATTAACTAATTATCACATTGCTCACTTGTATACCCTCATAAAAACAGACATTACCTATTGTGATAGCACCAGACTCAGAGCACTGATGAGAAATCACAGTTGGTTGTTTACATATGCTTTAACACTAGTTTTTCCTCCAACAAATTACAATAATTAAGAAAAAAAAAGCGCACTGCTGACCTGTGCTAACTTTGCACATGTAATACTCTTGGAGGATAGATTGCTTGGATGCAACTTTCTAGATTTTGAATCAAGTAAATGGGAGGGACCCCAAACACTAGAAGGGTTAGCATTTTGGCTTAATATAAGGACGCAGAAAAGAACAGGTCCTACAGCTGAATGAGTTAGGCTGTTGAAGGTTTTATTTGGTGTGCCTGAGGCATTCACGAAGTTTATTTCAGGTAGACCTTCCACACCACATAGTTCCAACTTCCAGGTAACTGACTTCAGATGCCAAGATGTTGAAAATCAATTTCACAAATTTTAAGTACCAATAATACAATGCAATTCTGAGACAGCAACAAATGGTCCACTTTTTTCCTCTGCTTCAATAAAGCGTAAGCTAAAACACTGGCTACTTATTACTGGCTCTAGTTTTTCCCCCCAACAAGACCTCAAATAATTTCCATGCCTTTTTCAATAAATTACTTTCCATAAGCAGCAAATTGGCATTCTGAATAACAGTACTTACTGTGTCAGCTGTTTTCAGTTCCTTGGCAACTCAGACAAATTTCAACTTAATTTGAGATTGAGTTTTATGTTTACATTATGTTTCTGACCAATGTTTCAAAAAACAATTTAGTTTTATACAAAGACAGTACTAGAAAAACATTGTTACACCACTCCTACAGTTCTTTAAATGGAAATTCAAGTCCCAGGAGTTTTAAAGCCCAGCACAACTGCAAGTTTGGAGAAAAGTCACACGCAGTTTGGCCAGAAAAGCTGGACACATACATACAAACAAACAAACAAACCTGGTCATTTTTAATCAATACATCATCTGAAAGCATTTAAAAAAAAAAAAAAACAAAAAAACAAACCCAAAACAGAATTCTCTCATTGTTGTTTCTATTTACCAAATGGCACATCATTTTCGGAGACTACCTGAACACGACTCATCAGAGGACCGGGGAGGCTTTCTCTACAGTTTATTTCTGGTTGATAAGGGCTGTTAAGACAGCAGACATACGAAAACAAAAGGAAGGCAGAAGAACATCTCCCAGAATGAATTCCTCCCACCAGACTTCAGCAACAAGGCAGAAGCAGCCAAATTAAAAATTGAGCAGCACAGCAAAAGACTAGAAACCCAAAGAGCCCGACAGAGACGTAAGGCCAGAAAAAGCAATGGGGCATCAGATTCTGCAACCAGAGCACATAGGTTCGATACAAGAACAAGTCGCAAACAAAAACATCTTCTACCTAACCTCTGCACAAAGCACTTGTTCTCTTACTATTTCTAGACCACCTGTCCACTGCTTACAGTACTACAGACTACTTCATAAGCTCAAGACAAAACCATTTATATTAAGCCAAAATGCTAACCCTTCTAGTGTTTGGGGTCCCTCCCATTTATTTGGTTCAAAATCTAGAAAGCTGCATCAAAGCAATCTATCCTCCAAGAGTATTACATGTGCAACGTTAGGGACTATAAAATGTCAGTACTTAAACTGCTTGAGCAATCCCTGGTTACATGTCCATTATGTTGTAGGCTTTGCATTAAGTGATGCAAATAAATGATCCTGCTGACATGTGCAGAAAACTTCATACATAAATGCAGTGGAAGAGTTCACAACACCATGACACCACTGGGTTTTCATGATCTGCCAAATTCTGTTGGTTTTATAGGATGCTGCTACACTATAGATGGACTGTGTTCATTTTTGCTAGAAAAGATCACAAAAAAGTAGCTGCAGAACAGACATGCAAATTGCTCTGTTCGACAGCCATGTTATTTACACGTAACATGAGTTGGCATACTTAATCCCCAACGTAGTACTTCAAAATACAGGTCAAAGTCGACTGTTAATTGAGCAGAATAACAACACCTCACCTCCTCCCACTTCGTATTCTTTAATTATGTATCTGTAAGCATACAAATCCCTCTGCATTAGTGTTACTTGCTGTATTTCCTGGGTTTAGTATTAAAGGTCTGAACTAGCTTTCTGTTATCATTTGTCTAAAATATCAGTGGCATACCATCAGCTTCAGCAAATTTTTCATGCTTCATTTCACCAGACAAAATTTTATACTTATGTCGTTTAAAACATACAATCTCTAGCAGGGTAATTCTTGATAAAAATAGATTCTATCTGTATCTTCAGTATTTTAAATGGTAACTAGCCCACCCCAAAGGCTTAAGAAATCTAGTTTATATCGTATAAATACATTGATCTGTGAAAGTGGAACACAAAATTTTTAGATACATACTTCAACACAATTTTGAATAACCAAGAAGACTGAATTAAAGTCTGGTAAAAAAATAAATGATAGTGCTATCTTCATAGAGAGAATCATGTCACAACTTTATCTGAACAGAATTTAGCTTACATGGTAAGTAGAAACCATTTTGTTAGGGCAAACTTAAAAACTGATTAATGGTGGTGTAAATGGAAAAGCAAAAGAATTCGGAATTTCAAAAGATGAAGAAAAAAAGACAGACTTATTTATCGCATAAGCCTACTTTTCATTTAAGCTTTAATAAAAAGCCAAGATGCATATGCATAAATATTTCAGCAAGAGTTTAGAAAAGTAATAGGTTGATCTCTTGAGGGGGAAGAGGAGTTTGTTCTTCTAACGCATTCTTTTTGCCATTAGCTTGGAAACTGACAGTATCTTCCAGGACTGAAAACAAAGGCATTTCACTGAGCAAACAAAAACTAGCACCTGAATTACACTGACAGTTCACAATATTCAGGTTTCTAGTTAAAAAAAAAAAAAACAAAACAAACAAACAAACAAAAAAAACAAACAAAAACCACCACCCAAACAAAAAACCACCAACACACACAATTTGAAGCAGAATGACTGTAATACTAGTGGTAAACTGAGTCCAGTCATTAGACAAATATAAAGACAAGAAAGACAAAAACAAACATTCAGATACATTCAGAAGGTAGCCACTCTACTTAAGTTGTTCTTGTCCTGGCTCTGCAGACTGGGACTTCACTGGTTGAAAAGAACAGAGCAGGGAAGAGAGAGAAAGTTTTTCTATTAAGCACTGACCTTAAGTACATGCTCATACAAATTTCCATACAACTTCCCTGCAGCTCACCACAGATTTTTCTTCCTGGAGTAGTACAAAATTTGCCTCAAATAAGATCTGTATCAGCCACTAAAAAAATCTCATGCACAATAACCGTTCTCCAGTGACCATTTTGAACCAGCCCACTCTTATCACCAGATTATGTGCTGAGGTCTCAGGCTACCCAGAGAAACCCCATCTACTCTGCAGTGTAAGCTGGCACCTTCCTCTAAAGGAGGACAAAACCACCCCATAAACAACAAAACAGTAATAGCTGAACCCACAAAGGCTTTGGCACGCATTCTGCAGGTACTTCCAAGGTGAGCATGTTGAGCCTTTCCCATTTTAAGTGTGCTAGGTGAAACTACAAACTCATTTAGACAAAACATTGACCTTTTCTAGTCCTCTCCCAGAAGCTGCTTTAAAACAACTTATTTATACTACACAGCACATGTACCAGCGACATGAGAAAGGAAGTATATGAAGCTCAAAATTCTTCCATGTTTTTAATCAAACTAGGATAATAATAAAACCACTTGCAATATAAACATCAGTATAAGAGTAAGCACAACACTAACCCCAAGTATGGGGGGGAAAAAAAACAAAAACAAAACCCATCACACTAAATCCCAAATAATCATCTATTGCAAACATTTTACAATTAGTTCCCAACTTCTGAGAATGCAGTCACAATTTTCACTACTACCTAAAAAGCAAAATTCCAACTTCTACTGATACTTCAAAGCTTTTAGTAGTCAGGCCATTCTGAGTACAGAGAACACCATATGATGAATTACATTCTGAAGGATTCATCAAAACTTTCGTATGATTTTTCATTCATAGCTTCCCCTAGTTTCTCATTAAATCCCATTCTACAAACAATCTATCCTTCTCACACCTGGGAACTGACATTAGTTTGCAAATCCACCACACAGACCAAAAAACTGCAGTGCCCAGACCCAAGAGAGCTGTCCGGCTTCCACAGCTGCTTCTAAGCTAAGGAAAGAGATACCAAGCCCAGCAATTCAATCCTACTTTTAATTAAAAGTAGGGAGGAACAGTAACAGGACCACTAGCTTAAGCATCACATCTCACTTCAGACGTGTTTGATGGAGTTTATTATCCTGATTTTTTTTGTTTAAAAGAAGCACACACAAAAATTACCCACACCAAAAAGAAATACGTATTTATTTTTAAATATACTTACCTTGCACCATTATTTCTAACTACTTCCACTGTTTCACCAACAAAATAACGATCCTTGACATAAGCAAAGATTTCATCACAGATCTCATGCAGTCGGGAGCAATGGGTAAGGGTTGCCAAGTAGAGAACTGGAATGATGAGTGCCTCTGGAAAACTTTGAAGATTCTGTCTGGCTTTCTTCTCTGATTCCAGTGCTTCCTGATATGTGAGTCCTGGTTTACCTGTGACAGCACAGCTCCACACAAGGCTGTTGCACAGAATAATGCGTTCAAAAAAATCACTGAAAAGGCAGGGAAGAGAGAGAAAGAAAACAGTTCAGTTCTGACTAACATTTTCAATTTGCTCACCATTAATACAAAAGCAAATTTCTTTTACAAGCCTGAAATGAAAAGGCAGCTCTACTCCTGCACAGGCTTTTGGATAATTAAGTGCTATTTACCACTTTTTAGCCACAGCATGGTAAATTGCTATTGTAAAACCAGTCTCCTCTCACTACTGGCTACACTAACAATATCAAGACCTGGAAGTGCTGCAAACAAATGTTCATATAGTAGAAGCCTTAAATGTGAGAATAATCACACTGTGTTTAATAGGTGTCATACCTTCCTCACATCCCCCACATTTCCACAAATATTTTCAAGCGGAGGGTCTAAAAGCGCACAAACATAAAATAACCTTAAGATCACAGAAACACGTTGAAACTTGAGTAAGTTTCAGATTTTGAGTGCCCTAGCTCACAAACAAAGATGGGAGAGGTAAAATATTAATGTCAAGTAGTTCTCTAAATAGTTTTTATTTCTTCACTGTTTGCATTTCTCTCAGAAGAAGCATTAAAGTATCTTTTAACTACAGATTCTTCTCCTCCCTTGTTCCATTAGCAAATATTGATTCTCCTCCTTTCCTGTATTTCTAATTAATGCTAAAATTACATTGCTGTTGCTTGCTTACTAGTGATTATATTGGAATGAAGAAAGAGCACCTTTCATTAGTCAATATCTATCAATTTTTGGCAGGTACCAGACAAAGAGCAGTTTGTTAAAACACTGTAGATGAAGTAGATGATATAGGTATTCACAAAAACATGTTAAAAACGTATCATACGCTATTGATCAGTGATCAGGCAGCAGAGCAATATTTCAATATGCCCCAGTTCAGATTCAATGATTTTTATCTACCTTCCTTTAAAAAATCTTAATGGACTAGTATGGAGAAGTATGCAACACACAACATGAGAAATCGAGGTTTGCTCTGCCTTGTATCAGTCCAACATAGGTATTTCATAGCAGACACACAGTACTTTCAGAACACTGAATGCTACACAAGATGCCTACACTGAAAATTCATTCATTTATAAAAAAGAAAAAAATACACTGTGCAGAACTCCCATTCGTAACAGGGTAGAACTGTATAAATAATTTCTAGTAATGGGGCTGGAGAATTGGACAGTTCACACTGAGGTTTTTTCTTGCAGGCTCCCTTGCAAACTCAAGCTGGCAAACGTGCATCAGTTAGCAGATGACAATGTTCACTGCAGATGGATAGACGAACCATAACATTCTGTAAATGAAAATGGAAATTCCAGATTGAGGACAATGGAGGGTCCTGGCTCAGATAATCCTTTCTGTATGAGCACAGGATTCCTCTGAGTGAGAGATGCTTTAGGAAGAACATCAGCTGTAAGAAGCGGAAAAGGACAGAAGAGATAGATTATCTGAATAATATTTAATAGCTACCAAAATTAAGATTTTTATACCACCTGCATCTAAAATACCTGATAGTACTTGGGTCCAACACTCATAAGTAATACAGAATAATTTGGGTTTGCTTATTCTAAACAAGAAAAGGAGAAGAACAAAGGAGAGAGAATGAGCGAAATTATTCTTCGATACATGAAGAATGATGTCTGACAGTCATTCTTTATGTATCTTTACTGCATTTTATTGTGCATTATCTTTAAGGTATAGAATAATTACTTCGACATTTTGAAGAACAGGTTAGACAAAAACCTCTCTTTTTTTTTTTTTTTTTTAAGGTGATGGAATACACAAAACATGATCTCTTCAGGTCTCTTCCTGCCCAACATTTCCATACTTTTGTATCTGACTGACAATTTTAGTAGTCTTAGACTTCAATGGATGAAGTAACGTTTACTCAATCTTCATGCAGTTGTGTGTCTCTTACATACATTTTTGTGTCTTGCTGAAGAGGTTCCTGATAACTATCTTTAGCTAGAAAAGTGAAAAACACCCTGAGAGTTATTAGAAAAGTATCGGAACATAATTTTCAAAAAATGTGACATTAAAAGGAAATTAAGGAAAAAAAAAAAAAGAAAATAAGGAGGGAGCGAGCTCAGAGAGTGAGCAGAGTCTCTCTGAGAGGCTGAGGTTGACGCTGGCAGTGTCCCTTTAAGAGCTGCTGTTATTCTTCGTGAAGGGACACCGGGCAGTCATGCTATTTAAAGCAACAGCATTGAACTTACAGGAAGAAAAAAAAAAGGGGGGGGGGGAGGAACTTAGAAAAAAAAAAAAACAAACCCAAAACCACATCAAAAACCCCACAACGAACCCCCTCTCTAAAAATTTTTGACATTATTACAAATGCAAAATTTTGAGATCAGTTTAACTGAAACATATTTGAGGAAAACCTGTTCCATTTGCATACAAGAGTAGTTTGTGCTTCTAGTTTCATTCTCCCTCATTTCCTTTTTTGTTTAGTGTGGATTTTTCTTCCATCAACTCACAGGGGAAAAAAAATACATTCGATTTTGAAAGCATTGTCTTTAGCTAGTCGTTACCTATAGCACATCAAAACCATCTGTGGCTTAGTCTGTTAACACAGTTTTATTGCAATGTTTTAATGATCTCACTTAACTTGGTTTGAGAGAGAGGAGAAAACAAAATCCCAGCAGCAGAACAGTAGATGTTATTCGTAGTACTCTTTCTCTCCCTCGGTGTCCTTATCACAAAAATATTTATGAAAAGCAGACACAACAGCTAGGAAACCAAGAGAATGGTAGCAACAGCCACGATACCCCTTCTCTTTACTTAGAGAGTAATAATGCACTTGATCATATTCTACATTCAACTTAAATTCACAACAGCAAATGCATCTGCTGCTACATCACACCTGAAGCCTTATCTACATCTTTATCCAAGGTATTACGGTCTTTGGGGCTTCCTCACTGGTTCTAGATGTCTCTAACTCTTGACAACATAGAGAAGGAAGTTCATACAAAACACGTCCACAGAGCTCACTTGCAAGGTGCCACCCACCTGTGAGAAGTCAAAAGGGACTGCAGTGCCCTGGTGAAGATGCCCGTATTAGCTCAACTACTCAAGGAACAAGGACTAAAGGCAATGAAGTTGCCTTTGTAGTAGTAATTAATGCTAACTTCTCAGCTGAATATCTTTTTTTCATTTGTGTTATACTTTTCCATACAAGGTAGTGTAAACAGAAAAACTGTCAGCAAAGCATTGAGAAGTAGTTTAATACTGCTACTTGTAAGTATTTGACAGGAGGCAGTTTATTAACAGAAGCTAGAAATAAATTACTTGCAATGTCCATGCTGACTACACTTGCATGTACATTTTTACACATGGATGTAAAAATTCAGCCTAGAAATTACTTGAACTAACCAAGTATTTCCATTGAGTCCAAGATCTGCTTTTAGTGTGCTGCAAGAACATGTTCCTTTCAAACCATTTACTTTTATTCATTTTCTTAGCATATATTAAAAACAAACTAGGGGTTCTTTTTTTAAACAAAAGAATTATATAGAGGAGAATGTAAAATATGGGAAAGTCACATTAAGTGAAATTAAAGGAAAAAGCAGGAAAAAAACCCAATGGAATGGCTAATTTGCAATAATTGTTAATTTTAACCCTGAAGCCCCTATGAACCCCTAACATACACCGTTTATTTAGCCTGTGGTAGGAGGGTCATCACAGAACACCAACCCTGCCATTCTGCATCACAAAAGCATTCTTGTAGTCTGCCTTGTCTCCACAAGTGATCAATAACACATATTACAAAATAGCGCCCAAAAGAAACAAACAAACAAACAAAAAGGG